GGCTCGTAGTGACCCTTTGTACAGAAGAAAGAAACGCTGCCTGGTCCTGCACCGTCCTCACAATTGTTCTTGGGTTTGAGCCCATTGTTGCAGCCAATCCACCTCGTCAAGTTTTTCTCTTTTTCATTCCCCGTCTGTTTTGCCAAGCATGATGTCCTTTTCCAGGGCTTGGTCTCTCCTGACAGCATATCCAGAGCACATGGTAGAGGTAGACAGAACCTTATCATCCTCCTTTCTAAGGAGCATTCTGACTGTACTTCTTCCAAGAAGTTTGTTCGTTTATTTTTGTGGTCCATCCATGGTACTTTCAGTATTCTTTGCCAACACCGTAATTCAAATGCATCAATTCTTCTTTTGCCTTCCTTATTCAGTGTCCAACGTTCACATGCATATGAGGCGATTGAAAATACCCTGGCTTGGGTCAGGTGCACCTTAGTCTTCAAAGTAACTTTCTTGCTCTTCAATAGTTTGAAGAGCTCTTATCATGCAGATTTACCCCCAAAATGCATAATTTGATTTCTTAACTGCTGGTGCACCATGAGCATTGAGTGTGGACCTGCCAAGATGGAATCCTTGACAACTTCAATCTTTTCTCCATTTATCATGATGTTATAGCTATCGGTCCAGCTGTGACCATTGGGTTGTGTTTACACTGATTGAGCTGTGATCCATACAGAAGGCTGCAGTCCTTGATCTTCATCAGCAAGAGCTTCAAGTCCTTAGCCCTTGAGACAAGCTAGGTTATGCCATCTGTACATCACAGATTGTTAATAAGCTTTCCTCCAAAACTGTGTTCTTATATAATTTAATTTATCAAAATATTTTCTCATCATACAGATTGAAAAAGTGTCGTGAAAAGATACAACTCTGATGCACACCTTTCCTGATTTTAAACCAAGCAGTATTCCCTTATTCTGTTTGAATAGTTGCATGAGTACAATGAAGTGTTCTGGAATTGCTATTCTGCTCAGCACTATTCATAATTTATTATGATCCGTATAGCCAAATTCCTTTGTATAGTCCACAAAATATGAGTAAATAGTTTTCTTGTATTCTTGGCTTTGAGCCATAATATACCATATCAACAATGATATACCCTTTGTTTCCCTTCCTGAATCAGGGTGTATTTCTGGCACTGTTGATGTACTGCTCTAACTGTTGTTGAATGATCATCAGCAAAATTTACTTGCATGCGATATCAATGATGTATATATTTTATAAACTCTGCATTTGAGTGAGTCATCTTTTTTGGATTGGATACAAATATGGATGTCTTCAGTCAGTATGGAAGGTAATTATCTAGCGTATTCCTTGGCATAAATGAATGAGTGCTTCTAGTGCATCAACGGCATGTTGAAATATTTCAGTTGAGATTTCATCAATTTCTATGGGCTTGTCTTTCACTAATGCTTTCAGTGAAACTTGAACTTCTTCCTTCATTATCATCAGTTCTTGGTCACTTGCTACCTCTTGAAATGGTTGAATGTCGAGAAGCTCTTTTGACACAGTGGCTCTGGATATTCCTTCCATCTTCTTCTGATGCTTCTGGCATAGTTCCATATTTTGTCCATAAAATCCTTTAATATTGCAATTTAATGATTTGGGTTTTCTTCAGTTCTTTCAGCTTAAGATATATTGAGCATGTTGCTCCTCTTTCACTTTCTAACTCTTGATCTTTGCTCATTTCACTGTAATGCTTTGTCTTCTAAAGCTGCCCTTTGCATTTTTTAAATTTTTATTTTTCAAAATCATTTTTTTATTTTAATCGTTTTTTAGGGGCTCATACAACTCTTATCACAATCCATACATACATCAGTTGTGTAAAGCACATTTGTACATTCATTGCCCTCATCATTCTCCAAACATTTGCTCTCCACTTAAGCCCCCGGCATCAGCTCCTCATTTTTCCCCTCCCTCCCCTTCCCCCCTCCCTCATGAACCCTTGATAATTTATAAATTATTATTTTGTCATGT